ACAAACAACACACAAACAACACACAAACACCACACACTAACAACACACACAGTAACAACACACACACATTAACAACAAACACACTAACACACACACTAACAACACACACACTAACCAACACACACACTAGCAACACACACTAATACACTCACAACACACTCACACTAACAACACACACACTAACAACACACACACAAACAACACACTCACACTAACAACACACACACCAAACAACACACTCACACTAACAACACACACACCAAACAACACACTCACACTAACAACATACACACTAGCAACACACACACCCTAACAACACACTCACAACACACACTAAACAACACACACACTAAACAACACACACACTAACAACACACACACACTAACAACACACACACTAGCAACACACACACTAACAACACACACACTAAACAACACACACACACACCAGCAACACACAGACTAACAACACACTCACACTAACAACACACACTAAACAACACACTCACACTAACAACACTCACACTAACAACACACAAACACTAACAACACACACACTAAACAACACTCACACACACACACTAACAACACACACTAACACACTCACACTAACAACACACTCACACTAACAACACACACACTAACAACACACTCACACTAACACACACACTAACAACACACACTAACAACACACTCACACTAACAACACTCACACTAACAACACACACACTAACAACACACACACTAACAACACACACTAACACACAAACACTAACAACACTGACACTAACAACACTCACACTAACAACACACACACTAACACACACACTAACAACACACACACACTAACAACACAAACACAGAAACATGACCGCTGCTGCTGCTGTCTCGTGAATACAAAGGAGGCAGTGTTTGTTTATTGACGCAGCGAGGCAACACGTGGGGTGTGTGTGTGTGGGGGGGTGGAGAATTGCCTGAGCTGTCGGTACGAAGTGAAACCCGACCCCCCCTCCCCCGACGTTCCGCGATGTGGCCCTCTCTCACACTCACTCAACACCCTCTGCGCGGAACGCGTGTCGCTGTTACGAATGGCTGAACGGTTTGGGGTTTTGGAAATTTTTTAAAATCAAAATTGCGATCTCTCCGGCAGCGATTTGCGATTTGATTTGCGATTACAATTTTTTTGTTGTGGTTGTTTTTGGTCCAGTCGAACTGCAGTTCCAATGTTCACCGCGGAATGGATTCAACGCGTGGTACCATCAAACACAGAAATAGGTTTTCACCCTTTTAACTGGCACAACAACTGACACCTTTATTCAAGGCGTCGTGTTTGCAATAACCACAGCACAAGCAGTCAAAATGCAAACAAAAAAAGACAGCTCTGATAATAATATTGGCACTGTCCTTGAATTTGATTGGTCCACACCAGAGACGGCTTTTCTTAGAGCCCTTTAGTCTCTCCACTGGTGATGGACCAGATGACGCCAAAAGGCGTACAACTAAAAAACAACGCACTATCAGAGTATTGAGGTGCTCGGGGTGAGCATTTACATTATGAGACCTCCTTTGCCAGTAACAAGATATAGTAATAGATTTTCACCCTTTTAACTGGCACAAAAACTGACACCTTTATTCAAGGCATCGTGTTTGCAATAACCACAACACAAGCAGTCAAAATGCAAACAAAAAGAGACAACTCTGATAATGATGATGGCACCGTCCTTGAATTTGATTGGTCCACACCAGAGACGGCTTTTCTTAGTGCCCTTTAGTCTCTCCACTGGTGATGGACCAGATGACGCCAAAAGGCGTACAACTCAAAAAACAGCGCACCATCAGAGTTATTGAGGTGCTCGGGGTGAGCATTTACATTATGACACCTCCTTTGCCAGTAACAAGATATAGTAATAGATTTTCACCCTTTTAACTGGCACAAAAACTGACACCTTTATTCAAGGCATCGTGTTTGCAATAACCACAACACAAGCAGTCTAAATGTAAACAAAAAGAGACAACTCTGATAATGATGATGGCACCGTCCTTGAATTTGATTGGTCCACACCAGAGACGGCTTTTCTTAGTGCCCTTTAGTCTCTCCACTGGTGATGGACCAGATGACGCCAAAAGGCGTACAACTCAAAAAAACAGCGCACCATCAGAGTTATTGAGGGCTCGGGGTGAGCATTTACATTATGAGACCTCCTTTGCCAGTAACAAGATATAGGAATAGGTTTTACCCTTTTAACTGGCACAAAAACTGACACCTTCATTCAAGGCATCGTGTTTGCAATAACCACAATACAAGCAGTCAAAATGCAAACAAAAAAAAGACAACTCTGATAATAATATGCACTGTCCTTGAATTTGATTGGTCCACACCAGAGACGGCTTTTCTTAGAGCCCTTTAGTCTCTCCACTGGTGATGGACCAGATGACGCCAAAAGGCGTACAACTCAAAAAACAGCGCACCATCAGAGTTATTGAGGGCTCGGGGTGAGCATTTACATTATGAGACCTCCTTTGCCAGTAACAAGATATAGTAATAGGTTTAACCCTTTTAACTGGCACAAAAACTGACACCTTTATTCAAGGCATCATGTTTGCAATAACCACAACACAAGCAGTCAAAATGCAAACAAAAGGAGACAACTCTGATAATAATAATGTTGGCACCGTCCTTGAATTTGATTGGTCCACACCAGAGACGGCTTTTCTTAGAGCCCTTTAGTCTCCACTGGTGTTAGACCAGAAGACGCTAAAAGGCGTACAACTAAAAAAACAGCGCACCATCAGAGTTATTGAGGGCTCGGGGTGAGCATTTACATTATGACACCTCCTTTGCCAGTAACAAGATATAGTAATAGGTTTTACCCTTTTAACTGGCACAACTGACACCTTTATTCAAGGCATCGTGTTTGCAATAACCACAACACAAGCAGTCAAAATGCAAACAAAAAGAGACAACTCTGATAATAATAATATTGGCACTGTCCTTGAATTTGATTGGTCCACACCAGAGACGGCTTTTCTTAGAACCCTTTAGTCTCTCCACTGGTGATGGACCAGATGACGCCAAAAGGCGTACAACTCAAAAAACTGCGCACCATCAGAGTTATTGAGGGCTCGGGGTGAACATTTACATTATGACACCTCCTTTGCCAGTAACAAGATATAGTAATAGGTTTAACCCTTTTAACTGGCACAACTGACACCTTTATTCAAGGCATCGTGTTTGCAATAACCACAATACAAGCAGTCAAAATGCAAACAAAAAAAGACAACTCTGATAATAATATTGGCACTGTCCTTGAATTTGATTGGTCCACACCAGAGACGGCTTTTCTTAGAGCCCTTTAGTCTCTCCACTGGTGATGGACCAGATGACGCCAAAAGGCATACATCTCAAAAAACAGCGCACCATCAGGGTTATTGAGGGCTCGGGGTGAACATTTACATTATGACACCTCCTTTGCCAGTAACAAGATATAGGAATAGGTTTTTACCCTTTTAACCGGCACAATCAAACATGTGAACGGCTGTGTATGTTCTCACACAGGGACGTGGAACTTCGAAGATGTGAATCGCTTCCAACGTGTGTCCATTAAAATGTTTCAAGTTGAAAATGAACAGTCAAACATATCGCAATTGTTAAGTTAAATAAATAAAGTTATATATATTTTTCAAAAAATATATATAATTAATACAAGAAAGTTATAGGGGCTTTTTAAATCGTAAAATCGCAGCCTTTGTACAGCCTGCCCTATATGACGTCATAACAACAGTCTGGACCACTGGACGGGTTCCGCAGGATTGGAAGGATGCCCTGGTGGTCCCCCCTCTTTAAGAAGAAGGGGGACCGCACAGACTGTAACAACTACAGGGGCATCTCACTCCTCAGTGTGAGGCCGGTAAAGGTCCTGGCAAGGATTATTCAGCATCGCCTTGGCCAGGCACGCTGAGGAGAGGCTTGCGGAGCCCCAATGCGGTTTCAGGAAAGGGCGGTCCTGCACAGATGCCATATTACTGTGTAGGAATCTCCTGGTTATACCACCAGCCCACTTAGTGGCGAATGGCGGTTGTTGTTGGGTGTTGGTGGTGTTGTTGTGTTAGTGTTGTTGTGTTAGTGGTGTTGTGTTAGTGGTGTTGTTGTGTTAGTGTTGTTGTTAGTGTTGTCAGTCAGTCGACCCGTGGCACCTGCTGGGTCTGCCCCGTGACCTCCTGCCCGCGGGCGTTCGACACATCACGTGGCCTCAAGGTGCACATGGCCTGGCACAAGCGTCGTGGTGATGTCACCGCCACTTAGTGGCGAATGGCGGTTGTTGTTGTGTTGTTGTTGTGTGTTGTTGTGTTCGTGTTGTTGTTGTGTTCATGTTGTTGTGTTCGGCGGAAACAAATCACCCATCGTCACCATCTAAAAACCCTCCTCCATCATAATCTTCACCACCACCATCACCATCTTCACCACCATCACCACCATCACCACCATCTTCACCACCATTACCACCACCGTCACCACCATCACCACCACCACCATCACCACCATCTTCACCACCACCATCAGCGTTGTTCCTCCTCCTCCTGACGACTTTACTACTGGGGTGGTGGTAATGTGGTGGTGGTGGTGATGGTGGTGGTGGTGATGGTGGTGGTGGTGATGTTGGTGGTGTTGGTAATGGTGGTGGTAGTGATGTTGGTGGTGTTGGTGGTGATGTTGGTGTTGGTGGTAGTGATGGTGGTGGTGATGTTGTTGGTGGTGGTAGTGATGGAGGTGGTGGTGATGTTGGTGGTGGTGGTGTTGGTGGTGATGGTGGTGGGGGTGGTAGTGGTGATGTTGTTGTTGGTGGTAGTGATGGAGGTGGTGGTAGTGATGGTGGTGGTGATATTTGTTGGTGGTGCTCCTCGTCCGTTCGCTCCTCCTCACTCGCCGCTGACTCCTCCCCCATCCTCCCCCCCCCCCCCAAACAACAACAACACAACAACAACACAACAACAACACAACAACAGTCTCCCCCCCCCGTGCCAACCCTCCCTCCCCACCGGCGGGGGTCACAGCTACAGCTGCAGGCACCGTGAGGCCTTGCGAGCCTCGCCCCACAGCAGAAGGCTGAGCAGTGTGAGGCCCCAGGCGGAAGTAGCAGGCCCCAAGGCCCTTGTAGAGGCCGCGAAGGCCCTCAGCTCGCCACGTCCTCAGCAGGCAGTCGGCGAAGCCTCGGTAGACACGGTGCTGGGTGGCGGTGGTGGCGGTGGTGGTGGTGGTGGCGGTGGTGGTGGGGGGGGGGGGGGGGTTTCGTCAGACGTGCCCCCCCCGTCAATGAACTTACGTTCGGGAGATCGGCCGCGGTGCCATTTCTGCGCGGGCGCGGGCGCGGGCGGGTTAACTTCGGCGTGGTGTCTGCGATTTGTGAGCGGAGCGACCGCGTGCTGGGCTGGGCGGGCGGGCGGGGGTGGTTCGTTAGAGAGCGAGCGTAGCCGCGGCCTTGGGGTGCTGACCCGGGGTTTCCGCTTGAGGGCGCGCGGGGCCCAAAGTCGCGGCTTCCGCGGCCGCCGCGCGACCGATCCGAGTAGGCGCGAAGGGTCGCGGTGCACCTGAACGAAACTCTCCCGGGGCCGCCCGCGCCGAGATTACCATCTCCGCGCCGAGATTACCATCTCCGCGCCGAGATTACCATCTCCGCGCCGAGATTACCATCTCCGCGCCGAGATTACCATCTCCGCGCCGAGATTACCATCTCCGCGCCGAGATTACCATCTCCGCGCCGAGATTACCATCTCCGCGCCGAGATTACCATCTCCGCGCCGAGATTACCATCTCCGCGCCGAGATTACCATCTCCGCGCCGAGATTACCATCTCCGCGCCGAGATTACCATCTCCGCGCCGAGATTACCATCTCCGCGCCGAGATTACCATCTCCGCGCCGAGATTACCATCTCCGCGCCGAGATTACCATCTCCGCGCCGAGATTACCATCTCCGCGCCGAGATTACCATCTCCGCGCCGAGATTACCATCTCCGCGCCGAGATTACCATCTCCGCGCCGAGATTACCATCTCCGCGCCGAGATTACCATCTCCGCGCCGAGATTACCATCTCCGCGCCGAGATTACCATCTCCGCGCCGAGATTACCATCTCCGCGCCGAGATTACCATCTCCGCGCCGAGATTACCATCTCCGCGCCGAGATTACCATCTCCGCGCCGAGATTACCATCTCCGCGCCGAGATTACCATCTCCGCGCCGAGATTACCATCTCCGCGCCGAGATTACCATCTCCGCGCCGAGATTACCATCTCCGCGCCGAGATTACCATCTCCGCGCCGAGATTACCATCTCCGCGCCGAGATTACCATCTCCGCGCCGAGATTACCATCTCCGCGCCGAGATTACCATCTCCGCGCCGAGATTACCATCTCCGCGCCGAGATTACCATCTCCGCGCCGAGATTACCATCTCCGCGCCGAGATTACCATCTCCGCGCCGAGATTACCATCTCCGCGCCGAGATTACCATCTCCGCGCCGAGATTACCATCTCCGCGCCGAGATTACCATCTCCGCGCCGAGATTACCATCTCCGCGCCGAGATTACCATCTCCGCGCCGAGATTACCATCTCCGCGCCGAGATTACCATCTCCGCGCCGAGATTACCATCTCCGCGCCGAGATTACCATCTCCGCGCCGAGATTACCATCTCCGCGCCGAGATTACCATCTCCGCGCCGAGATTACCATCTCCGCGCCGAGATTACCATCTCCGCGCCGAGATTACCATCTCCGCGCCGAGATTACCATCTCCGCGCCGAGATTACCATCTCCGCGCCGAGATTACCATCTCCGCGCCGAGATTACCATCTCCGCGCCAATGCGACTTGAGCGAGCTTGCACGGCGCGCTTTACGCAGTAAAATTTACTTAAACAACTTTTAACGAAAACACGCTTTTTAAAATACAAAAAAAAAGAGAGAGAGAGAGAGAGCTTATTATATTTTGTACGTCTCTGCTCCATCAAATAATTGCGACCGAATTTGATTTCATCCAGCGGCAGATCGATCGTCACATCGTAAACGTGAGCGTACTGTGGTAATGGAAGAACTCCACAACGACAACAAGGTCTTGATTTAAAGCTTTCGTGACTGCAGTAATTCATATTCTTAGTTTTTTTCGGTAAAGTCACGTTGTTTCTCTTCAACGTGACTTTACCGAAAAAACTAAGAATATGACAACAAGGTCATCTCTTTGACGCGCTTTCATTTAACTCGCTCTGTCTGTTGTCGATGTTGTTGTTGTTGTCGATGTCGTTGTTGTTGTTGTCGATGATGTCGTTGTTGTACCCTCAAATCTTGTAACTCGAACTGTAACCCACTTCCCAATGTGGTATCGACTGCAAACTCGGTATACTGATGTCATGCTGATGACAATAGCTACGATTCGAAATCTTTCGTGACTGCAAGAATTACTCTTTGGTTTTTTTTTCGGTAAAGTCACGTATAAATAAGTCTGAACCACCTCTACGGAGGAGGTAAGAGGTCTGTGTCTTTGTGTTTGTCTCTGCTTGTGCGTCTGCCTTTGTGTCTTGGCTTGGATTTGTGTCTCGGTGCTGTCTCTGCCTGTGTGTGGGCCTTGGTGTTTCCGAGTGGGTGATGCCGCGCCCCACTTTGGCTCCATACATACCTCATGCTAATTTGTCCCTTTGTCTCTCAGCCTCACCTTCTCTGCGTATTTAAGGCGACTTCACTGTGTGCGTGTCCCCTGTGCTGGTTCGCTCTACTTGGATGTCTATGTGTGTGTGTGTGTGCGCGGTCTGTATTTTAAATTTCATACTGAACTTGCAATTTAACAATCTTTGAAATATCTTCTTTGGTTCTTTCGGTAAAGTCACGTAGAATGATAATAAAATAATAAATCATTCTACGTGACTTTACCGAAAGAACCAAAGAAGATGAATCATTGCAGTCACGAAAGCTTTAAATCGAAATCTTTGAAATAGCGTAATCAACCGGACTATGCGTTTAATTGTGTTTTGACCAACCGTCTGTGTTGCTTTATATGGTTGTCCAAATTGTGCTAAACCCTGATTGTTTGGTATGCTTCTCTCTCTGTTGTACCCTGGTGTATCTGTGTTAGTTCCCCCCTACTTGGGTGTCTGTGTATACATCTGGGGTTATATGTGTTTCCTCTCTCTCTCTCGCAAATTTAGCTCTTCTGTACCTGATGATGGCTGCTTGTGTTGCAACCGAAACGTCGTACGCTACTGTCTTATTTTATTATTTCTTATTTATACGTGGCTTTACCGGAAAAAAACCAAAGAGTGACTTTAACTATGTTCTATCATGAAAAATAAAATAAAAAAACAAACACATATACACCAGTAAAACCTTGGATTGCGAGTGACTTGATCTGCGAGTGCTTTGCAAGGGGAGCAAATGTTTGAGTAAATATTGATTTGATAAACGAGCGAGGGTCTTGCAAATACGAGCAGTGTAACACGTGTGCACGCTCTACACTGCCGTAATCCAAATCACGTTGTGATTTCCAAATCACGTTGTGATCCAAATCACGTTGTGATCCAAATCACGTTGTGATCCAAATCACGTTGATCCAAATCACGTTGTGATTTGGATTACAAGCACGTTTCCGGAACGAATCACGCTCCTCGCTACCCAAGGTTTGACCGTAGCTTAAAATATTCATATCCTTAGTTCTTTCGGTAAAGTCACGTTGAAGGGAAACAACAAAATAATAAAAAAAATATATGAAACAATAAAAAAAATTCTCACGACGTTTCGACCATAACACAAACGGTCATCTTCAGGTGTGTCGGTTCGCATTAATTAATTTATTTATAAACGGTGCATTTATTTATTTTAAAAAAACCGTTAGCGCCACGCGCAGCGATTTGGCAGTTTGTTTAGGACTAGTCCATCTATATTCTGAAACAGAGGAGGGGGGAGACGAAATTTTTATTTTATTTTATAATGTATGCTGTCTCCCCCCTCCTCTGTTTCAGAACATAGATGGACTAGTCCGTCT